CTGTGTCGGTGCACCCGGGGCTCCCCTCCCCTCTGCATGCCCTGTGTCGGTGCACCCGGGGCTCCCCTCCCCTCTGCATGCCCTGTGTCGGTGCAGCTGGCAGGCATTGTCAGGGTGGAAGCAGAGGGAATGACCCTGGTGAGGCTGGCTCTTGTCCTCAGGGAGCTACTGAATGCCCACAAGGACAACCTGGGCACCACCATCAAGTTTGTGGTCTTTAACGAGCTGTCCAACGCCCGGAACCCCAACAACATGCAGATCCTGTACACCGTGCTGCAACATAGTGCTGAGCTGGCACCCAAGGTGCGTGGGCCCTGCTGAGAGGCCAGCCTGGTGTATGTGCACCCCCACCTCTCAGAAGCCAGCCTGACCTGCACACATACTCCCCTTACCCACAATACTGCCCTCCTGCCTCTGGGGGTTTTGGGTGACGGGGTTAGCACGCCCTGCATTTGGGCAGACTTCTGGATGCTTGAGTGTGATTTCCACAGGTCCTACAGCAGGCCTAGCTGCAGTGAGGGGTGTTAGCCTTGGAAGCTAAGTTTATCTAGGGGAGCAGCTCTGAGCCCTGAGAGCTGGGCTGGCGGCCCCGGGCAGTGGTTCTGCATTGTGGTTCTTGGGCTCAGAGACCTTTTGGCTTTGGAAGCAGAACCCGGGAATGTCTCTTCTGTTGCTGTCGGTGATGCAGAGCAGGCTCGCACTTGGGCCCCACGGTCTGTATGACGTCAGGCAGACCTGGTGGCTGCCCTGTCAGCTTTGTACCCAGTGTCCCAGGGTCACGGTGGGTCACTCACAGTCTCAGGTCGAGTGTCTGGATTTAACCGTGCCATCTGACCTGAGGGCAGTAGTGTGTCCATTGTAGCTGCAGTGCCTGGGTCCAGCCCTGACCGCGTCTGTTGACCAGCCCCTCACTAGATGGTGTGGGGTCCATGGGCCAGTGGCCGAGAGAGCTAACAAGCTGGGGTGTTTCTGTTCTCGGGCTCACCGTGGGCAAGGCTGGCGGGCCGTCACCTGGAACACGCCTGTGGCTCTCCTGGCTGTCTCGGGCACTGGGGTGGAGGAGGGGAATGGCTGGCACATGGCGCCAGGGTGTGAGTGGATGGGTGCAGCGTGGTCTCTCTCTGCCCAGTTCCTGGCCATGGTGTTCCAGGACCTGCTGACCAACAAAGAGGACTACCTGCGGGCGTCTCGGGCCCTGCTGCGTGAGATCGTCAAGCAGACCAAGCACGAGATCAACTTCCAGGCCCTGTGCCTGGGCCTCATGCAGGAGCGGAAGGAGCCACCACACCTGGACATGGAGTTCAAGGTACGTGCATGGCTCGTGTCACTGCGTCTTTCCTCGTGGGGGGTGCCTGGCTTGTCACGTGGTACATGATGCTCTGAGCGGGGGGGCAGGCTCCGAAGAGGAGCTGCCAGTAGTGGGGTAAATGGGTGGTATGGAGGAAGCCTTGATGGTGCTCCCCAGGGGCGGGCCGTGTCCAGCTTGGGGTCTCCTGTTCTGGGCCTGACAGTGGGCTGCCGGCCAGCTCCTCGGGCCCGGGTCCTTGTCCTGGGATGGCTGTCCTCGCCCCCGTGTTGGCCCTGCCTAGCTGAGCGGGCCCCAGGCTGACTTCTGCTTCGCAGGAGCGTTTTGTCATCCACGTGACAGACCTGCTGGCTGTGTCCATGATGCTGGGGATCACCGCCCAGGTGAAGGAGGCTGGGCTCGCCTGGGACAAAGGCGAGAAGAGGAGTAAGCCCCTTGGACGGCTGGATGGACGGTCGGTTGGTTGGGGATCGGTCGGTCAGTTGGTCAGACAGATGGATAGTTGGTTGGGGCTACTTGGACAAGTGGACAGTCAATTGGTCAGTCAGACGGTTAGTCAGACAGACAGTCCGTTGGTCAGTCAGGGGTCTTGGGCAGCTCAGTGCAGAGTGGTGCTGGCTCCCAGCATGTTATACAGGTGGTCCCTGCACTCGCCTGGGACCTGATCCTGTATTGGTACCATGGGTGTCTCAGGTGTGGAGCCCTCTGCCTGGGGTGCAAGGAGGGAGGTAATGGGAGTCAGCCTGTCTGGCTTTGTTGTGGAACCCGCTGGAAGGTCTGGCCATAGAGGGTCTTAGAAGTTTGTTACCCGGCTTTCTCTGAGCTCCGTGAGGGTCATCAGGTGCCTAAGACTGCTGCTCCAGCCCTGAGTTGGACCTGGGGACAGCCGCCCTGCAGCCACGCCCGACCCGTTTGTCTGTTTCAGACCTCGAAGTGCTGCGTGCCTTCCAGAACCAGATCGCCGCCATCCAGCGGGACGCCGTGTGGTGGCTGCACACGGTGGTGCCCTCCATCAGCAAACTGGCCCCCAAGGACTATGTGCACTGGTGCGCCCCCTCGCCCCGCACGCAGAGTGCATTGCCCTGCAGCACCCGGGGTGGTAGGACGGGGGCATCACGGGAAGCCCATGGTGCGTCCCCTCACCCTGCACGCAGAGTGCATTGCCCCGCGGCACCCGGGGTGGAAGGATGGAGTCACCATAGGAAGCCCATGGTGTGCCCCCTCGCCCCGCATGCAGAGTGCATTGCCCCGCGGCACCTGGGGTGGTAGGACGGGGGCATCACGGGAAGCCCATCGTGTGTCCTCCTTGCCCTGCACGCAGAGTGCATTGCCCCACAGCACCTGGGGTGGTAGGACAGGGTCACCAGAGGAAGCCCATCGTGTGTCCCCCTTGCCCTGCACGCAGAGTGCATTACCCCACAGCACCCGGGGTGGAAGGACGGGCTCACCACGGGAAGCCCATGGTGCGTCCCCCTCGCCCCGCACGCAGAGTACATTGCCCCGCAGCACCCGGGGTGGAAGGTCTGCCTGCGTCTGACCAGGTGGCGGCCGGCTCAGGAGCAGCCCTGAGCGTCTGCCCCAGCCTCTGACCCCCTGCTGTCTCACCAGCCTCCACAAGGTTCTCTTCACGGAGCAGCCAGAGACCTACTACAAGTGGGACAACTGGCCGCCAGAGAGTGATCGCAAGTGAGGGTCGGGAGTGGGGGACAGGGCGCCGGGCTCGCCTGACCCACATCATCAGCACCTGCCTGCCTCCGTTCCCAGGGGTTCTCACCCCCACAGCTCCCAAACCCTAGACCTCCCCCACAATTCCCAGCTTTAAGATGTCTGTAGGTACCTGCCAGCCTTGACGCGGCCGCACACCTAGCTTTTGTTAGGGCTTGACTCCCCTAGGACGTCCATCTGCCCAGCCCAGTCCAGCCCGCCCGCCCAGGCCCCCTTTTCCTCCAGCCCCCTGAGTGCAGTGCCTCCTTCCCTCTCGTGCCTCACTTGTGTCATGCTGCCAAGCTGTGCCTGGGCCTGAATGCAGACCTCCTGTGCCCAGCTTCTTCCTGCGCCTCTGCTCAGAGGTGCCTATCCTGGAGGACACGCTCATGCGAATCCTGGTCATCGGGCTGTCCCGAGAGCTCCCGCTCGGCCCTGCCGATGCCATGGAGCTGGCCGACCACCTGGTGAAGCGGGCCGCCGCCGTGCAGGCTGACGGTAATGCCCTCCCGACTCCCTGGAGCTGCCCCTGGGCCGGGGCTACGAGCGAACCACCCGGGCAGACTGCAGCCTGCATGTGACCCTTGGGTTCTAGACGTGGAAGTGCTGAAGGTGGGAAGGATCCAGCTGATAGATGCCGTCCTGAACCTGTGCACCTACCACCACCCGGACAACATCCAGCTCCCTCCTGGGTGAGGCCCCATCTGCCCTGGGGCTGGGGCTCAGCTCCACAGCGGCCAGCAGCCAGGGGACTATGCTGCTCCTGCCGCTCCCCCCGCCCCCCAAGCATTTACCCGGCCCTACTCTGGGCCACCGTTCCCACTGAGGCCTGTCGTGTGCACATAGTGGGCCTCTGCCTGCCCTCAGTGAACCATGTTGTCCTCTGCCCCGGGCCCTTCCCTTTGTGCTGTTTGTCTCCCAATCCACAGGAGAAAGATGAGGCAGTCTGCTTCCGGAAAGATTACAGCCATGGAAACCCTGTGGGGCAGTTCCACTCTGTCCTCTAGGGGTGCTGTGGGTCAGAATCGACCCCACGGCAGGGGGTTTGTTTTGTTAGTCCTGCGTCGTGTGAAAACTGCATTTTTTTACGTGTTCATCTGTTGATGGGGTTTGGGTTGTTTCCTCTGGCTCTTGGGGTTAGTGTTGAAATAGTTCATCTGTTGATGGGGTTTGGGTTGTTTCCTCTGGCTCTTGGGGTTAGTGTTGAAATAAGCAGTCGTGCGCGTCTGCGTGTGTATGTCTGTGTGTTAGCATGGCCACGTTCTCTCTCTCGGGTATACACCCGGGGGCAGGATAGCTGGCTTACATGGTAGCTCTGTGTTGATTGTCACGAGGCCCTGTCAGACTGTGGCCATGGTTATGTTTCAGGTACCAGCCCCCAAACCTCGCCATCTCCACTCTGTATTGGAAGGCCTGGCCACTGCTGCTGGTCGTAGCTGCCTTCAATCCCGAGAATATCGGTGAGTGCCCTTGGCCCTCGTCGGCAGCTCCGAGTATGGTGAGCCGGCTGGGTGTTGGCGCGTCTTCCACCTGGGCTTCTTGGTTGGCATCACCAGGGTGCATCTAGCTAGGTGTCAGAGGCCACGCTGGGAGCAGGGGTCCCGTCCTGGGGGGGCTGGCTGGCAGTGAGCCACACTGAGCGTGTTCTGCCCTCCTGCCCCAGGTCTGGCTGCCTGGGAAGAGTACCCCACTCTGAAGATGCTCATGGAAATGGTGATGACCAAGTGAGCCCCTGGGGGTGGGGGCTGGGGCTGGGGGGATGAGGGTAGCAGGGGAGGGCAGATGCTATGCTGGTACACTGCGGGACCTGGCATGTGGCCTGAGGTTGATGGCCCGAGAGGCTGCCACGCAGGCAGGGGACATGGGCTGGAGGCTCAGGAGCTGTGTGTGCCACCCTGGAGGCCTTGTGGGCACTGGTGCCCACTGTGGGGTGTCAGGAGTGCAGTGAGGGCAGCCCTGGAGCCCTCGGGCACTGGCAGCGCACTGTGGGGTACCGGGGTGGGGTTTAGCAGCCCCGGAGCCGAGACATCAGTGAGTGCCAGGCTTGATGGGAAGGCAGTGGCTGTCTTCGTGTGGAAGGTGGTGAATGGTGGGCACAGGGGCCTCTGAGGACCCTAATCCTCTCTGGGACATGTCAGTGGCCCTCAGGGACCATTCCGGTCAAACGGTGGTGAGGGGCAACCCTGTGCCCTTTGACCCTTGGTCTCTGGTGGCAAGGGCTCGGGGCTCCGGCGGGTGCAGTGACGAGCCCTCCCTGTCATTGATGGGCACGCGAGGGCTCGGGGCTCCGGCGGGTGCAGTGACGAGCCCTCCCTGTTGATGCTCAGCAACTACTCGTACCCGCCGTGCACGCTGACGGACGAGGAGACCCGCTCCGAGGTGATCAGCCGTGAGCTGCAGACATCCCAGCGGGAGAAGCAGGAGATCCTGGCCTTTGAGGGGCACCTGGCGGCCGCGTCCACCAAGCAGACCATCACAGAGAGCAGCAGCCTGCTCCTGTCCCAGCTCACCAGCCTGGACCCGCAGTACGGCCCGCGGGCCTGCTCCCCTGTGGGGCCACTGAGAAGGGTCTGGGGCGGGGGGAGCCTGGCGGGAGCGGACGCCCGTGAAACCTCACTGCCCCAGCCCTCGAGGCCCACTTCCCACGGAGTCAGCCTGAGGCATGCTGCGGTCCAGGTGGACCTGACAGTCCGCGGCAGTATACTGAGTGGCCCCTCGGGCAGGGATGGCAAGGAAGGAGGAGACAGCTGGAGTTTTGGGGGAGCGTGGCCCTCTTGTCCTTGCGCTTGGCTACCGCAGCCTTTGAGGTCTGGGCGTAAGCCTGAGGCCAAGCTGGGGTGCAGGATGGTGTACTGAGTAGCCCCTTGGGAGTGGGGGCAGGGAGGAAGGAAGAGGCAGCTGGAGCGCCTGGGGAAGTTTTGGGGGGCCGTGGCCCCCTTGGCCCTCATCTTCTGTCCTGACATGCTCTTGCGCTCTGGCTTCCAGAGGGCCCCCCCGACGGCCGCCTCCCCACATCCTGGAGCAGGTGAGGGCCCTGAACCAGTCCCTGCGGCTCGGCCACCTGCTGTGCCGCAGCCGGAGCCCCGACTTCCTGCTGAACATCATCCAGAGGCAGGTGAGCCCGGGCCGTGGAGCTGGGGCTGGGGCTCGGGGGTGCCAGGCCTGCACTGCCCCACGGTGGCATGGCAAGTAGCCCCTGGATGCGGTGGGACTGAGCCCCGTGCCTGCCCCCCAGGCCTCCTCCCAGTCCATGCCCTGGCTGGCCGACCTGGTGCAGTCCAGTGAGGGCTCCCTGGACGTGCTCCCGGTGCAGTGCCTCTGTGAGTTTCTGCTGCACGACGCAGCTGCCGCGGCCGCCTCCACAGACGACGAGGAGGATGGCGAGAGCAAAGAGCAGAAGGCCCGGAAGCGGCAGGTCTGCACCCTGGGTCCTCCAGCCCCCCCCGCCCCGGCCCCCCAGCAGCCCCTGACGGCCCCTGCCCCCACAGAGGCAACAGAAGCAGCGGCAGCTGCTGGGCCGCCTGCAGGACCTGCTGCTGGGCCCCAAGGCGGACGGGCAGACCACGTGTGAGGTGCTGGACTACTTCCTGCGGCGTCTCAGCTCCTCCCAGGTGGCCTCGAGGGTGCTGGCCACGAAGGTGAGCGGCCGACGGGCAGGTCTGTGCACACACTCTCGCTGTCTCGGTGGTTCTGTGTTCACATCTATGCAGGGTCCCTCACCAGCCAAGCTTTTTCTAGCTGACTCTCCTGTGTGGAAGGGGCCGCTCTGCTGGGGTCTGAGCCCCCGATGGGCACTGGGACTGCCTCTGATTCCCATGGGGCTGAAAGCCCATTGGGAGAGAGCCTGGCCCCGCTGTCTCTCCTCCTGCAGCCCTATCAGCTCTGACGAGCACTAGTGAGGCCCACCCCCGGGAGCCTGTGCTGTGCCCTCTCCCCCGAGACTGCCCTGCAGCTGTGGTGGTCAACCAGCCCAGCCCACTGTCCCCTCGCAGGGCTTGTCACTGGTGCTCTCGGAGGGCAGCCTGCGGGACGGCGAGGAGAAGGAGCAGCCGATGGATGAGGACTCGGGGGGCCCTGAGCTGCCCACCTACCAGTGGCTGCTCCGGGACCTGCCTCGGCTGCCCCTGTTCCACAGCGTGAGGAGCACCGCCGCTCTGGCGCTGCAGCAGGTGGGGGGCAGCACCGGGGGGGGGGGCAGGCGGGTCTCCGTAAGGCCCAGCTCAGACCCCTCGTCCCTTCGCAGGCCATCCACATGGAGACGGACCCGCAGACCATCAGTGCCTACCTGGTGTACCTGTCCCAGCACACACCTGTGGAGGAGCAGGGCCAGCACAGTGACCTGGCTCTGGTGAGCAGCCGGCCCT